TTGTGTGTGTGTGTGGTGGGTGTTGGGGGGGGGGAGCAGTTCTTTGTGATAAGTTACAGCAAAATTTGCAATAAGCTCCATGTTAACCAAGAAAAGATTCAGTGTCACATTCAGCAGTCTAATCCTTGTTTTCCACTGTATGCATTTGCATCTACAAAAGGCTTATTCCATCAAATTGACATGGAAATTGAATTTTCCTGTCAATCTTCTAGGTGAAAAAAAAAACCTTTCAACCTAATTTAATTACCATATCAAGCCAAACCCGACTTTCAATTCAATTCAAGAAGGCAAGAAACTAAAATCCATGTCATCAAAGAAAGCAGGGAAGCTATTTTCACTTTATAACTTATTTACAAAATTGATCCCATGTCATGCATATGCATTAACTCCATAACAAAAACTGCTGAAAGAGAAAGCAATTGAATTGGCCAAAGAAACTTACGACTTAACAGCAAGCAACAGAGCACAGGAATAGCAAAAAAAGAGTATGAAGAATTGAATTGGGTTTCGCTAGGTAGAGGAAGTTTGAGTTTACATTAATATAAGGGATATGGTCGTGGAGGAGGAGACTTGGTGAGAAAGTACGTGGAGATGGAGTTAGAGACCTAAAAGTTGTAGACTTGGAAAATATCAAAATTCCGTAAGGCTGTCCTACGTATCAGGCAATAACTTAGCAATTGGCAACTTGTTGCCTTGCGTTTGGATATTGACATATTGTATTGGTGGTACACACAATATTTGTCCTATTACTTTAATAAAAAAGGATAGCCCGGTGCACTAAGTTACCGCTATATCCTGTCTAGAGAAGGGCCGGATCATAAGGGTCTATTGTACCAGTCTTATCCTGCATTTATGTAAGAGGCTGTTTTCACTTGCAGAAATGCATGGTAAGGCTGCGTACAATATACCTTTGTGGTCCGGCCCTTCTCCGGATCCCGTGCATAGCGGGAATTTAGTGCACCGGGCTGCTTTTTTTTATTTTATTAAAGTAATAGGACAAATATTGTATGCCAAGTTCTAAGGCCTAAATTTTTAAACGAATATTATGATATATATTTTAGTTGAATTCTATTTTTCTAGTTTTTTGAGATGCAAAATTGTTAATAACTTTTTATGATCAATTTTCTCTAATAATTCTCTTTTCAATTGATAGTATAACCAACATATTTAATCTTTTTTGAGATATTGTTGATCTTAGGTAAGATTTTAGCAAATATAATTTTAAGATTTTTTTAAAAAAAAATTATCAACTTATTATTTCTGAAAAATAGGGCCCCCAAATTTGAGAACCTAAGACACAAGCCTTACTTGTGATAACCTTAGACCCGGCCTTGCCTGTTACGTTAAACCATATTCGCCTTACACTAGAAAATAAAAAGGGAGCAATCAAATTAAATGACAAAACAAAAAAAATTCTCACCTACAAGTACGGGCGAAATAATATTGGATTTTTGGTAGTAGTTGCATTTTCTTTTTTATCCTATAGGCAATAACTTATGCCTAAATCTGGTGGCGCTAATAGAAAAGGAGTAACTTTCGATTCTTTGAATGATACTTTTATTGTTAATTTGTCATTATAATTGTGCCCAGTGACTTTGTATTACATAGAAGGAATGAGGAATCCGACTAGAACAAAGATTGTTTATCCACTATAATAATGTTGGAAAGCGATAAGTCCACACGATCTGTATACTTTAAATGATGGATATGTGCAAAAGCTATTGACTTCTTATTCTCCTTTCGTAGTTGGAAGGATATTTAAGGAACAATAATAAGAAAAATTTCCCAATATAGGTAATAGGTATGCATTACATCGACATTTGAGTCATGTGTCACGAAAGTATACAAGAAATTTCATCACATTGCTGCATTAATGCGAAGGAGGACGTATGAGAAAGGATTCCTAAATCATGGATGGATTTGTGTTATGGACCGAAATGCGTTTAAATGAAACATGAATACTGAATATATATATATATATATATATATATATATATATATATATATATATATATATATATATATATATATATATATATATATATATATAATTTAACTATTGTATGAAAGTTGAACAATATTGTATAAAAATTATATTGAAGTTGTATGATATTGTAGTTGTATATAATTGGATAGAAATAATATATGAAAATTGTAGATAAGTTGTATAATATANTGTCAGTTTTACCGCCTAATTTTCTTTATCGCATTTTATTTACATGGTCGGCTCTGCCCCATAAATTTATTTGCTTGCACTCTAACTGTATCTTCTGCAGATTTAATTATGTTGTTGTTTGCTTCCTTTCCTTGCATCCATTTAATTTTCCCCTAATCTTTTAGTGGCTTCGCTTCCGGCTCTGATATCAAGGGGACCGGAAGCGAAGCCCCTAAAAGATTAGGGAAAAATTAAATGGATGCAAGGACAGGAAGCAAATAACAAGATAATTAAACCTGCAGAAGATACAGTTAGAGTGAAAGCAAATAATTTATGGGGCAGAGCCGACCATGTAAATAGAATGCGATAAAGTAAATTAGGCGGTTTAACCGATCATAATGTAGAGTAATATAAATATAAACTTGGGCAAGAGTAAAATAAATATAAACTTGATTATTATTGAAACTGAAAAATTGATAATACAATATAAAAACTTATATTAATATAATAGAGAGAGAGCTCTAACCAATTCTAGAGAGAGGGGACGAGAATTCTTTCTCAAGTGGTAGTGTAAGGTGTGTGTCTTACAAGTGATATGGGGGGCTATTTATAGCTAAAAAAGTAAAAATTACATAATATTTCTAATGTGATTCATGATGTCATTAGGAGTAAGTGCTAGCTGATGTCATGGATGATGTTAGCAGTGATGTCATTGTGCTGTCATGCTGATGTAATTTCTGATCAATTTTTCAGAACATTAAATCAAGTTCTTCTTCTTCTTCTTCCTCTGATGATTTGTCAGACAAAGATGCTTGATTTTGTTGACCTGGAATTTATGTCTTGAGGGTATCAAGAATTTGCTCCATTTGCTGAATAAAATCAAGCCTGCTGCTGGAACCGGCTAGTTGTGCACTTGCAATGGACTTTTGTTGTAAAAATAAAATTTTAGCAGCATCTGTTATAGCTAGATACTGCGGATGGAATAGAAACCACTTGTCTACCGCAGGTACATAGGCTTCGGATGAATCCCACATTTTATACCATTTGCAGTGTCCTTGGAGGGCTAACCACGGTAGTCTTTTATGTCCTTCTAGCTTGTGGAAGGAAAACTTCTGGGATATATCCAAGGGAAATGAAATCGGTGGAAAAATTGGAGGAGTATGGGTATTTGCTGTTCACTAAAAACCCATGACAGAAATAATCGTATCCTTCTTTTACTGGTGCTGGGAGGATTTCAGCTCTATGACCATATACAGGCCACCATTGATGTATAAACCACTGAGGGAATTCAGCGGTTAATTGATTACTTCAGAGCATGAACCATGAATGCTTTCCAAGTTGGTTTTGGAAGGTGAAAGCATTCATCCACGCTGCCTCGTAGTCATAGTAATTGTTAAATTGTGGATCAAAAGGCTGAGAAAGTCTTTTGTATTTGGCTGGATGGGTTCCCCATTCTTTTGGTGAGATTATTTTGTTAATCCACACCGTAGTATGTGTGACATATGATTGGGTTTGCTTTTCTTTGTGGGGATTAAACAAGCAGGATCTGGTATCTGTGAGAATAAACTCATAATATTTTTGGGTATGTTTGTGGGTGTTTTGAATGAAATTGGCTGAAGGGCTAAGTATTTTCTTAGACACCTCTTGGGGATTGGAATGCCAGAATTTTGGTTCAATTTGAATGAGTGGGTAAGCACTTTCTTCTTAATATAAGTGGGATCCTCGGAGGAGGAGCCCTTGTGTAAAGAAATAGGTTGTGGCACTGATGAAGAAAGTGCGTGATTGGTTGTAGTCTTTGGGATGTTGGATGGACACCCTGTACCTGCAATGGGGCTTTTAGCCTCCAATATTTTTTGTGCGGTGCTTCTGGCAGCCACAGGAAGTGAAGAGGCCGTGTGACTTTGGGCCGCCACGGAGTTGGAAGAAGATGCGTGGCTTTGTGCCGCCATATTGGAACAATAATTTTTATACAATTGATGCTGATCTCTCAGTTTTTTTAAATAAGGCAGGCATGGTCATTTGATCTTTAATGCCCATGAGTTGTTGCCATTGCATGAATTCTTCTTCTGTCCAAGGAGAAGACATGGTTTGTGCTAGTTGAGCTTGAGATTCTTGAGACTCTACTTCTTCAACTAGGTCTGCCCATTTTTTCGGACAGGAAATTGAGATTGGTCATGAACTTTCTATCATATGAAATTGGGGGACTCCACTCATGGCGTAGTCTGATGGCTTTCTATATTTGGGATGGTTTGGTCCAGCTGCGCCTTTTGGGAGTTGCTTGGAGGCAACTGAAATTGTTTGTTGTGTGGAAACAACATTTGTATATATATATATATATATATATATATATATATATATACACACACACACACACCTATTTTCAACTAGTCAGTATCACCTATATGTAATTTTCTCTTCCATTGTATTCTATCTTTAACTAGGTCTGCATTGATTCTAAGGATTTGTAGGTCTTTCGAGATAACTTTCTTCCATGTAATTTTTGTCAAGACCCAAAATCCACTAAAGGTCGTGATGGCGCCTAACACCGCCGTCGAGCAAGCCAACAGTAGATGATTAACTTAATTACTAATTTTAGTATTTTAAAATGAAAATTTTCATCAATTTAAAAGTAAGAAAATAGAATTTACAAGGTAAATGATAATATTTCCACAACTACGATAACGAACAACTCGTAAGCACCCCCAAAACCCGGTGTCACAAGTGCATGAGCATCAACTAGAAAATATAATAAAATACAACATCTGTCTGGAATAAAAATTAGACAGGAGAACATAAATAACTCTGATGGAGACTCAGCAGACTGGGATCATATCATAAAATGCAGCTGATGGTAAGTCCCTGCAACATCTACGCCTCTGTGCCCAAAAGACCACCAGACATATATGTACCTGCACAAAAATGTGCAGCAAGTGTAGCATGAGTATGTAAATCAACGCGTACCTAGTAAGTATCTAGCCTAACCCTAGAGAAGTAGTGACGAGAGGTCGATATTGACACTTACTAATGGTCCAATAAGATAGTTACAATAAGAGGTAAACAGATATGGGGCAGAGTAAACAAACGAAATAAACAAGTGCAAATACATGATACAATCCTCCTCTCTACAATAGACTCAAACTCTCAATAAGTGATTTACCTCCTCAACCGGAGCATATATATATATATATATATATATATATATATATAATGAACCTCACCGGATAGGTCGTCCGAATTCAAGTCAGAAGACTCATAGATACACTGACTTCTTGTCAAATGTTACGCACGATTCCATGAGACTATTTTATAGAAATGTCGAGGCGTACGACCCGATCCCATCATAATCTATGCACTGCCGAGTGTGGAACGACACGAACCATAGAAGCATCTATTACCGTCGAGGAGAACGACCCGCTCCCATGAGAGTGTGGTACATAATCCTACCAAGGCGAACGATCCGATTCCATTAGAATAAGAAGCTT